CCACGCACTCGTTGCGCTACAAAAAGCCCTCACCACCGCCGTCACCGAGGCGTCTTCCAAAATGTACTGGAGAAAGATTCGTGCAGCGCTGACAGACCAACGTCTTCCCGTGCAGCGTGGTGCTGCCGAGGTACGCACTTCCAAAGGTTCCATTGCGGTACTGAATCCCTGTTTCTTAGGTCATCATTGCTCTCTAGTAGTCTCTAGTCTGGCGCTGACGGCCACCCTCCCCCTTCCGCCGGACGTCGAGTGAATTCTCGCGCAATCTGTCAAATGTCAAGTCTCTGGACACCGCTGACCAGATAACGCGAGGCCCATGCCGTCCTCGTCGGCCATCTCCTTACCTCGACCCAACTCCCCCGTGTCGTCGCCACCGAGCTGAAAGCCGCCAAGAAGGAGAAAACAGACGACGAGGGTCCACCCGTCGGGCAAGATTATACAGCCGACATTGAGCGTCTACGAGCTGTTTTTTCTACTTCTCGGGCCACTTCAATACGTCCACGCTGACGTGCATGGCGCGCATCCGGCTGTTCGACTTTTACGCCGCGCTCCTGACCAAACTTGGCCCCTCATTCGTGGAATTACAATATGCGGTGATCGTCTCGCATCTCACCACCGAAATCATAGTCGGGCCGCTTGGACGACCCGTTCGCACGCGATACGAGGGCCAGCTTGTACGCACGCTGGTTTGGACGCTACTCCGCGACCTCGTGGGCGAGCGCATGCTCAGCGAGCAGGGTCAGATCGGCGCCATCCGCGAGCTCGCAACCGTCCACCTCAAGCGCGGGCCCGCTTCAATGCCCGGCTCCACCGCCCCCACGGACGCCGTCCTTGTAACCGTCCTGAGCGAAGTCGCCAGACTCCTCCGGCAGCTCGGGAACGCGCCGCCGCCCATGCAGGACGCCGTGGCCGAGCCACTCGTCACGCTCCTCGCACACCCGAGCCACACCGTCCGCGTCAACACCGCTTGGGCGCTGCGGTGCTGCTTCTCCACGCCGTTGCGCCTCCCCAAGACGATCCTCGTCGCGATAAAGCTCCTCCGGCGCGACCTCACCGCGCTCCTCACACCGGTGGCATCCCCTGAAGCGCCCTACCGGGGCAGCCTCTGAGCTCGCTGCGCGCGTGTACGCCATCCCTTTGCGGTCCCTCTATGTTTCTTATGAAGCGTCGGCGAAGGTGCTTGACATGGCGATTGCGCGGGGAAGCACGACGTATCGCAGGGACCGAGGTCGAGGTCGCGTGGATGGTGCTCGCGGCGCTCATGGCGCTCGGCCCCAACTTCGTGCGCCCGCAGCTGTGGCCTTGTCCTCTGGCGGAACGCGCTCCCGAAGCCCGCGAGCAAGGACACGACGGTGGGGCGTGGGCCTGCGGAGTGGGCATTTTTGCTCCGGGAGAGCGCGTTTGGTGCCGTCCTGTGTTTCCTCAAGTATCATTCGGGGACCCTCATGACGCTCGACGTCGCCCGCTGGAGGCGGTTCTCAGCGACGCGCTAGCCTTTGCTAATAGTTTCGCCAATCCAGCAGTACAAGATGCGCTCGGGCTGTCGGACGCAGCAGGTGGTCCAGCAGCAGAACACACAGGCTCGCGGACTGCCGCTCTCCGCCCGCGAGGCGCTCCTGCCGCGGTGGGTGTACCAGTGCTTCGCCGTGCTCGGGTTTAGCGACATCACCGACGCGACGCAGGCGACGCTCTCCAGTCGTGTGTTACGCTCCTTGCGAGCCCTGATGGCTATGCCGCGGGGAATGCTGTGCAGGCAGCTATCACTGCGTCTTCCGGCACGTTTACGGGGATGTAGGCTAGTAGGGACGGGTAGCGTATGGTGTCATCTTCATAGAGATCGGTGGCGACGAGCTCGAAGAGGACGGGAAGGTGGAGAAGGAACAAGATCTACCGAATCGCGATTCTGTCGAAGTGGCGATCGATAATTTGGTAAGTGTGGCATCCGCATCCTTTTCTCCCAGTTCCGTTCTTTTTACCTCAGTCCTCACTCGCTCTTTGTTTAGCTTTCCACAACCCGTCCTCGGAGCTTGCGACCACCGAGCGACCACGATCCGCTTTTGTCAGGCGCGGTTATCAAATGCTGAATATCACTTAGAGGAGCCTCCTCCTGCGAATACCTCGGTCGTGGACACGACCATCGAGCTCTTCGCACAGCTGCTCCCTCCGCAAGACCATACATCCGCGGTCAAAATACTCATCTTACTCGATCCCCTAAACTACTGGCCGGAACGTGGCTATCTTTATCAATGGGCCTATTCCAGTAGTCCTAGCCTTCTCACGCTATGGTCAGTATGCAATTCCGTCGAGCTCAGGACGTATTCGGGAGCCCGCAGGTAACGACATTGCTGTCATCATTCTTGAAGGTACGTTGTTTAGTAGTTAACCTCCTTTCCGTGAGCGCTAATCTTTCTTCCGTCTGTCTCAAGACGCGCTCGTCGACCTGGATCTAGCGCCAGCCAGGCAGTTAGCTAATTTCGCGGGCCCGGGGACAACCCTCCTCACCGGCCAAATCAAGCTCCTTGTCGATGAGGTCGTAAATAATCGCATCCGCACGAGCGCGCCGGGGTGCGATCTATAGCCACGTAGGTGGGCTGGCGGCGGGGCCACTGCTGAAGACCACGGTGAACGTGATGTCGATCAGCAACGACCCTCATCCTGTCGTCCACTTGTGGGCGCTTAATGCGCTCCGTCGCGTCATGCATGCCGCCAGTCTCGTCTACTCTTCGTTCGTCTCGAGCAAGCTGGGCATCAAGGTGTACTTAATGGAATCGTACGAACGCAGAGGCGGAACGCTGCTGAATCCCAACCTGAGCGGCGACTGCCCCGCGTACTACCCGGTTGTGTGTCAGATAACAGACGCTGTCATTACTATTCTCGGGTCGGACATGCAGGAGTCCTCCTGAGCGCGTGCACTCGTCTATTTTTTCCCGGATTTTTTACTTCATTGGAACGACTCGCTTTCCAGTTTCCACGAACGAGCACGTTGTTCGCGTTGGCAAGCCCGATAAGCGCAGAGCTGCAATTAAATATATTCGGGAGCAGATGGAGGGGTTTCGAGGTGCACCAGAGCGCGTGGGGCGCTTCACCCGTTTGCACTCTCAACTGCCAGGGTGTGTGGCCTCTTGTTCTCGCCTTGTTCCGCGACTGTCATTGTCCTCCTTGGCCACGGCGTCACGGTTGAGCCTCGTGACGCGATCCGTTGGCGATATCGAACGTCTGTTTCTGGCCCCACTGTTCTGGGGATGCGAGTAAGTAAAACTGTACAAGACTAGTGTGGTGTTGGATTCAATGCTGAGCCAAAACCCAATCACATGGGGGAGTGTTATGGAGTCGAAATTGATAAGCATACGAGCAGTTTCAAGCGGAGAAGCATCGGGATTGGATTTTACTGCAGAGCTCGAGACGCGAATTACAATAAGAGCCTCGCTCGAATTATGTGTGCGGTCGCTGGCGTACTGCTGCGGTCTTCTGCTGGTACTCATAAAAAAATGTCTGCGCCGGGGCTTTCTCCTCTAGAAATCCATATCTTATTATCTAACCTCCCACCGAGCCTCCCCACATCTGTTTCCAAGGCTAGGTGATAGAATTCAGTACCAAGTGGTGTCTTTCATTTCTGTATTTTTTCCCCAATTACCCAAGAAAAATCACGAACCTAAGGTTTTTCAGACTGGCGTAAGTAGCTCACTGAATCCACGACAAGTACTGTATCGTTTCGACCAAAGGTTCAGGTGACGGGTGACAGAGACCTGTGAACTGAACAATTTTGGTACCTGTGACGGTGACTTTTCAATTTCTCGTCCCAAAAAGGCAAAATATGTCAAAAAAAATCCGTCCGGCATTCGCCGGATTTCCATATAAGGCAATTTTGACGTGATTGCCGAGGAATGAACTATTTGTTCGGTGAACAATTGAGGTGACGGGTGACACCCCGTGAACCTTTGGTCGAAACGATACTGTACTCAACAATGACATCGCTCCATTTTTTGTTCAACTTGGCGACAGAACTAGTTCCAGTTGAGATCATTCTTCCACCACTGACCGAGCCTCAATCTCAACTCTGCCAACTATTGACCAGCCCTACCTTCGAGTAGTTGTATGGTTGGTTGCGTACAATATTGCAAAGCCTCAGCCGTCGTGACCAAAGCTTTACCACATAGATGACATTCATTCAAAAGCAATTAAAAAATTTATAGGCGGAGATACGGTAGCAACGTACATATGTCTCATTCAAGTTCATATAATTTTGGAGCGGGTGCTTCAGCGATGCACAAAAGGTGCAGGAATTGGAGTTGGAGTCACCGATGTCAATGAGGACCTACTGGCCTGAGTTTCTATTTAACTAAAAAGAAAGACAAAGCCTACATCTGACTTCCACTCACAACAGACTTGTTGGGAGGAAGAGAATGTCCAACTGGGGTAGCCGGCCTTTCAGAAAACTTGTCAAGCATAATTTGAAAGAATATTCAAATATCTTGTGCTCACTGGCACTGCGGAGAGACTCCTGGAACAGTTGAAAATGGGGCTCGGTCAGTGATAGAAAATGGTCAAAGTTGGGCTCAATGAGTGGTTTGAAAATGAGGGTCGGTCAGTGGTTTGGTTCAGGGTTGGTTCGTAGTTGAAAACCGGGCTCGGTCAGTGGTAGTTCAAGTTGGTTCGGTCTATTTTGCATAATATTTAAATTGTGTTGAATTTTGACAGGCAAAGTACAGCACGTTTGTTGATACAAACGGATCACAGAATTGCCTACAACACTGCCACTGAAACAGACCTTGACCCTGGTCGGCAACCGTACTCAGTCCCTACTTGAACACCTATTACTGTGTTCCATAAGTTATTGACAGTTGATTTTCGAGTTTCAAATTGCAACTGCCAAAGTAATCCAACCAGCCAAGTCACGATGTTCTCAGATTTCCCTCCCAGAGACGGAGATAGCTTGGCTTGGAGGCGCCCAAATAAGCCGTAGAGCAAGGATCTCATCGCAATATGCCCCCACCTTCAAGGGGCACATGGTGTAGTTGGTTATCACGCTCGCTTAGCACTATTCATGTACACGTGATGTACGTGTCACGTGATTAGGAAATTGCGAGAGGTGTTGGGTTCAATTCCCAATGTGTCCATCGATTTGTGGCCTTTTTGACTGATTCCTTCGCACCTGCGACTTCTCCCCTTCCTTCTGAGTCGAAATTCACGTCTTTGGAACTATCGTGAATATTTCGGATTTTTTAAGACTAACCTCGCACCGGAAACAGTTCCCTCCCTTGTGGGTCGAATCTCACCCATCCTAGGCACCCTCACAAATATTTTCAGATTTTTAAGGCCACAGGAACGGCCACGGGAGCGTCGAACATCTCGTTGATGGTCGCGACGATGATTTTTGATGCGATCATTGATGGTTCAACATGGTTCAACTCGAGTTTTTCCGTGCTTTTGGACAGAACCATTTGTGAGTGGACCGATTAAAGGACCTCGTCAACGGCGTCCCCGGCATTGTGCAAGCCCTTAAGGTGACGATAGAGTCCGAGTTGTTTGGCGGAACAGAAAAGAGTGCCGCCGCGGATTGGCGCCTTGCTCTCAATCACGCCACGAGTCTGCTAGCTCGTCTTCCACGCTCTGGTAAATCAGTACTCTGACCCTGGGGTAGACGATTGAATTTCGCCACTGGGTGCTGCACAGTTGCCAGAAGTTAGAAAGGTTTGGTATTCTCGTGGTCAAACTATCTTCGCAAGATTGTTCTACACTTTTTTTTCGGTCTTACAAGGTCTTCAATACGAGGAAATGCTCTTGACCCCATCTTTGACTGTATTCCAGGAAGGACGTGCGCAAAGGTCGTTGAACCATCTTGGCGAGGGATTATCCGCGAACTCAAACGCATGAATTTGTTGCAACGCACCTGGTGATGTTCGGGCCCTTGGAAGTCATGAGATCGCTCCCAGCCTTGGCGAGCATGGTGCCGTACGGGAGATGGAACAGATCCGCGAGTGTCACTTCCTGAAAGCCGATATATTACACTGCGACGGAACACAGAGACGCGAAAGGACTGACATTTCCAGCAAGATATTTCTGCTTTCCGAGAATGGCCTCATAGCCATCGAGTTTCGCAGACAGAGTCTCAATGTACGAGTCGTAGGCCGCCTTGTCGGAGGCTTCACCCCGCATGCTACAACAGAAATAACAACTTCATATGAACCAAAGCGAGACGATGACGCACGGCTTAAACAGGATCTCAGCAACAGCCTTGGAAGAGGACGGGTCAAAGTTGGAGTACTCGATAGACGCGGCTTGCTCGAAGAGAGCTTTTCCCTTGGTGTCGGTGGGCACGAGCGGGGTCCCTTGGTTGGCGTATTTGTCGGCAATGTAGCGGCAAATGGCGCGGCTTTCGTACAGGATAAACCCTTCATCATCCTAAAGTCCATTGGTAAGACAGATAATCCGGGAAAGAAAGCAGATGACGCACGATGTATGGAACTTGACCAAAGGGCTGCTTCTCGAGATATGCGGCAGATTTGTGCTCCGCCTTGGCGCGGTCGATGGGGACGAACTCGAACGGTACCTCCTTCTCGACAAGAATTATGGCCACACGACGAGTGCAGACGGACATGGGCATTCCAAAGAGTTTGAGAACCATTGTGGACGTGGTGGTGAAGAAAAAGCGTAATGATGCCTAATTCTTTTATAGGCCTTGCCCGGGTAAACTCCGCTCGAGTCCCGAGAAGCTTCTGGAGCTTTTTGAGTAAGCCGGACGTAAAGGGGTCTTCGAAAGCACGAGAGAACCATGAAGCGGTCTAGTAGAACGTCTCGGGTTTCTTAGTAAGAGCTCGCTTTGAAGCTTCTGAGAAACTGTCAGTAATCCTCCCATTTAACCAGAATTCAACATTTCCACGTCTTTGAGTTGAAGTTTCCAGCACCAAGCATTTCTTGAAGTAATTGCATCGCATAAGAACTCGAAGAGCAAGCTCAAGGGCGAGTATGAAGGAGTCATGCATCTCGGTTGTACTATATGCCGCGCGCGCGGCCGTGCTCGCCGTATTCTTTTTATACGCAGTTTTCGCAGAGCCGGTTCGAATACCCGCGTGAAAGGGCGGATGTACGAAAGAACGGCAGATACACACGCCGGGGCCGTGATGCAATATGCAAACGAGGCGATTCCACACCCTAAATTTAAATCAACATAGAACAAAAGCACAGTCTGTTGATTTGCCGGAGCTGCTCGGCTATCAGGAAGAATGCAAGATGTGTAACCAACCGTTCAAGTTCGAGAAATACAAAGTGAATAAATATTCGTACCAGTTACATAGAATCACACTTTACAAGCCATATTCAATCGCAGTAGCATCGCGTTCCGCCACTCCTGCAGACAGCGAATCGTAGTCCAGAGCAGTGGCATCAGCCTTCGCCTCGGCACTCTGAATTGTAAAATAAGCCTAATCAGTGCTGGAATAATGCAAAAACCGCATTCGATCGCGTACTATTTAGGTTTCTTAGACCTCAATCAATACTCGATGGCAGTAACATCATTCTGAGGCACTCCGTCCTAGTTCCGAAATGAAAATCAGCGCGAAACAAAACGCCGAACAGCAAGGTACGTACATCAGACCGCAAGCCGTATTCGATGGCAGTGGCATCGGTCTGAGGTGCCGCATCCTAAGTTCGAAAGCAAACGGAATCAGAAAGGAACGGCATGCGAGCTTTCATCAAACGTACGCCATCATCGTCATCCCGCAGACTGTATTCGATCGCGGTAACGTCGCTCTGTGGTACTCCATCGGACCGCACAGCGTATTCGATGGCGGTAGCATCAGTTTGAGGTACCCCAATAGAACGCAAGCCATATTCGATGGCAGTAGCATCACTCTGAGGCGTAGTATCCTACGTTGCATAGAACTCAGCACAGGCTCACGTTAAAATCGCATTCGACGTACACTATCGTCCTCAGATCGCAAGCCGTATTCTAGGGCACTAACATCACTCTGAGGTGGTGCTTGTGCCCTGCGAGAGGAGCCGATGACTCCGGCTGCGACAAGAGTTGCGAGGAAGGCCTGTACTAGAAGAAAACGGGGTAGCATCCTGGGGTCGACAGTGGCAGGAAGGAGTTAAGCGAGAACGGCGCTCGCTGTCAACTACCGTCCGGATTCTGCCGGCTCACATCACATGATCGTGCGGCAATCAAGCCGGACGCGGAGCTTCAATCAGCTTCAGTGCGGCATGCGTGAAGAATCTGTGCAGTGGCTAACAGCCCTTCGGGATAAAACACCGGTAAGTACATTGCTATGAAAAGTGGACCGAAAGATGCGCCTTTATGGCGTCGTTCTCCTCATAATTACCGGAATCTTAGGGCATGAAGGAGGAAAAAGACGTGCTCTGTTCCAGTTAGGTTTGCAGTCGAAGCTCCACAGTACTAGTAGCCAAAAGTGTCCAACAGTCAAACCTCCTTGACTTGCGTGGGAGCAACTGAATTTTCGGTTTGGCGCAGATTAGGGCTGTCTTCGCTGAACTTTACTCTGTTGCAAGTCTATTACTGACTCGGAGGCTCTACTCGCGGAGATTGAAAGTAATAATCGACTGTTGACGAAAATAAATCCTGATATGAACGAAATGAACTACATAGCAAAACTGTACGGAGAACCGTATTGTATTTTATGAAGAAGGCATTCATCACTTTGAGGCCCCTCCCACCATGCTAGACAATATATGAGCAAGACCTGTCCCTTCACAAGCGTCAAGATCATGAGAAGTGGCGACTCTTCGCCTGAGTGAGAAACCTTCCGCCGGCGTGTCCTATCCCCGACAATTGACCATGAAATTGAAGTTATGGATTGGAACACGAAACAACTTACGCAGTTATCCTGGGACCGGAAAGCGCGCATATCGCAAATTGTTGTGTTCTGGCAATCGGCATCGCACGCAGTGACTGCGCCGCGCGGCTTATGAACGTGTTGAACATCTGGAACGCAGTTTCGTTCACGGCGAACACTTCTGTGAGGTTGTGCCAGAAGGCAGGCGACAACGGTTCATCGGGAGCTAGTCCAACAAGCGGCCCGTACGTCTCGCGTGCGCTATAGTACAAACCCCATGTCGCTACGTGCTGGAATCAGCTTACGATGAAACGGCATAACTTGACCGGCTCACGGCGGATTTGGAATTCAGGATCCGAAATGTTGGCTGTGATATCCCAGTAAACCTTCGGTCAGGATCAAATGAGGGGAGCACTGACTGAAGATGACAGATGAGTCCACCACAGAATACGTGTCAGGGTCGATATCATAGAATTTGAAAGCTGGGTTCCCGCCTTTTTACCCTTGAATTAGTGTATTTTACCTGCGCATGAATAGCAATTTACTTGTTGGAGTTAGCGCAGGACCCTAAGTGATGTATTTCAAATCCGCAATCTGGCAGGCTGTAAGTCGCATGAACTCACAATCAACGCCACGCTGACTGCGTTCGCCGCCGTTTGGTCACTGTAGTTGGAGTACGCGATCTCAAATTGATCCTACGCGACCCAGTAAGTAAGAAACACAGACTCGATGTCGAGTCGCACCTTATGGCTGTGTCCAAAGAACTGTCCAGCGACAGTATTGATATAGCGTTGAAGGACTTGATCGTAGTAGTTCGACTATGGGATTTCGTTAACCGGTGAATGAAACAGTGTTGGCCTGAATGCACCTGATCTATGAGTGTATCCTCCTTGCCGAGTGGAATATGACCGATGATCCATGCACGGTCGCCGGCATCCTCTGCTGCCTGGAGAGCATCAACCAGGAAAGCAATGATTCCGTTTGGGTCGGGTCTGAGAAATCAAACTTCAGCTGATGAATAAATCTCCGGAAGGCATGTGTACTGGACAACATCGCTGTCGTATAGCCAATAACTGAAATAACACAATGAAATGAACAATAATTCAACAGGCGGCATCAAAATCTGCTTACTTTTGCTTATACCAGTACTGTGTATTGACCGCAACGATGCGCAAATCCAGACCAGGAACTTTCGCCGAATAACTCCCAGAATTGTGGTCGACTTCAAGTGCGGCGGTCTGCTGGATCCATTGCTGTTATCCATACGCGTTCGTTACTACGGAGGCCCTTGAAGGAAGGCTAACTGTACATACCTCCCATCCGGC